AACCTCAGAGTCTTTCCTGGTGCTCAACCCTCATCCTTCTCCCAACAACACATTATCAGCTTTGATCACAGAAACAACTTAAAACTCTAAAAAAAAATAAAAATCCTCCATCCTCCCTGATTCCTATGGTCCAAAAAACAAACAATAAATGCAAGAAGACTGAAAAGGGACTCACCAAGTTATAACCACAAGACTGGAGTTTCCACTGGGACATAGGGCCGAGGGGCGAGAAGTGGTCCTTAAATACGTCCCAGCGTCCTGAGACTGGGGGGCCAGTGGGCGGGCTCAGGAGTTCACACAAGCCCAAATTAAGTGCTGCTTAGCAAAATGGTTCAGTAAAGTGGATACTGTGTAACAGATGCCATCACACTGGGGAAATGTTGCCTTGGAGATGAACGTCCAAGGATAGAAGTGAGGAGTAGTGAGAAGTTTAAAGATGACTTTTGCCTGGATGGATGGTTGATAAAACAATACACCCACTTGAGACAAATATACATGGTTTGTACATTAGTAGGATGTATCTTAGTTGTAGTTTAGGTGTCAAATTATATACTTTCAGAATCAATTAATGCCCTTTAAATTAAATGTGGCAGAGAGACAAACCCCTCAACATGCGATATCATCAGCTAGATCAGTTCAGATGGTTTCCTCATGCTTAGCAGCATATTTCTCCCACTCATGCTTTGTGGAGCTGCCCTTCAGGTCCCTAAGGAAGTGTTAATATGACTAAGCTCAAGCAGGGTACTGGGGATGTTGGTGGTTGGAGCGTGCGACGGTAATCTGAGGAGATTTTGTCTGAGCAATCTGGTTAAGTGGCCGTTTGAGGGGATCCTGCCTGTGACAGTTTGCCAGTGTTGTTGCAAACATGCCAGACAGCTGAGAGGCAATATTGTAAGAGGGGGGGTGGGGGTGGGATCGGGCTGAGGCCAGGTCCCAGGACTCCAGTAGACGACATATCTCTGGGACGGCCTGTGCGCCGAGCGACGAGAGGTGGTTCTGTGCTCTGATTGGCTCCAGTGTCTCCTTTTAGGGAAATGGAGTGTAACAGTTGCCAGTGGCTGCATGTTGCCACAGACTTCGGCCTGGAGCTCAGGCTCCTTATTCGTCACCTCGCACTGCCCCAAGTATGCTTACGTCCCCATGCTGGAGTCCTATCGGGCCACTGTGAGTGCAATAAGAATGTAAATACCCCCCACGAACATCAACATGTTGAAATATTCCATTTGTAGCCGTGTGCTGTAATGTACCTCAGAGGGAAACTCCACTAACCTACTTGTCTATTTCTATTTCAAGCATTTACATAACCGAGAGCTACTTTCACATTGTGCATCTTTGCCAACTGATAACTGTTCGGGTGAATTTCCTGATGAATCGTCACAGTCTGTTTTATGTCTTGTGAAGGTTCTTACAAGGGTTCAAGGGAAAATCAACCGACACAATAATCTACAAGAGTAGAATTAAAGCGACCTCATACATCTATGAAACCAAGGAAATAAAAGCATATGATGATCCTGTTGTTGAAGTTGGACACATGGATTAGATGTTGTTCTTCTGGCCACAGCAAAGCTTCTATATATACTTTTTTTTACAGCAGCAGTATAGAGATAGTGAGTGAATGCAGTCCTACAAGATTATTTTGCCCTCTGATCATCTGAAACAACAGTTTGTGGTGGAAGAAGCATTGCTTGAGTAAAGGTATAGCTGTACCACACTATAAAAACACATTTAAAACAATTCCAAAACAACAGTGAATATAGGCTTTCACCTGCTGGTGGGCATCCAACCGTTTTTCATTTCCAACTCGTCACATACGAACGTGCGGCCAGACCCCTTGGCGTCACTTTCTAATGCACTGGTAGCTCAGCGCTAAACTATGAAGCTCCTCCACGGTCGAGGTCAAATAAGTCCACGCCAATTTTTGGTTTCACACGGGACATGAACAGTGGTCTCCAGGTGAAAGTCCATTGTTCAGGGAATGAAACCAGGGGAGAGCACCCCAACCCATATTGAGCTGGGGAGATGGGGCCAACTTTGAAAATTGTGTTTACAAACCGCAGCCAACAAATCCAAACACATTCTCAAAAAATTAAGAAAAAAAAGAAAACTACAAACAGAAAAACACAAACTTAGTGTGTTAGTGCTTGATAGAATGATTGAATTGATTGATTGATTTTATATTTACATAAACTACACACATGTAAAATTAGACTTATTACTGGAATACGTGCTTCAATCAGTGTTTGCTTGGAACAGACTCTTGTTCAGTAAAGGGAACAAATGCTTCACATTGTTGAGCAAAATGTAGGAGTCAGAGACATCCCGTTGGATGAAACCGGTGCTGTGTTTTGTCAACAGCTCCCTTCAAGTTAGGGAAGCACTTTTTGGCAGAGTCCTATCTTTATCACCAGGTCTTTATCAGGATAAAGCAGATTGGTCCTAAATGGGTCATGGTTTTGAGGGACATTCGTCCTTATACGGGCATGTAGGAAGCATAGAGTTTGTCTGATATGACAGCTGCCCCCTCTGCACTGGACCCCCCCTACCTCTTCCAACACACACACACACACACACACACACACACACACACACACACACACACACACACACACACACACACACACCTCAGCAGCTGTTAGCAACAACTGCTTTTTTAACAGTCAAGTCCTGCTTCGACAGTTGTTTTTTCACTATTGAGGATGCCCTGCTACATGTTACAATGGCTAAAGAAAATGAGCACAGGAAAACTATAAGCTGCTGCATTTTGTTTGATATTTTCTGCAAAGAGGGCACATTTGTGCAATAAATGTGAGAAATTATAATGGCTTTTTTTGGTATTTGAATGAAAAAAAACTAATTTGACCACCAGGTCAGGATTGTAAAATTTGCTAAAATCAAGCTGATACTTCAGTTAAGTTACAGTACTAGTTTCAAGATTATAAAAAAAATGAATAGACGTTACTTAAATAACAATAAAACTACTAATACTAGTAGTCTGATTACCATGTTTTGCACACTCCCATAGCATCGGAGGATTACAATTAACTTTGTCACTGCAGGGGAATTCGTTTCAGTAAACAGCCATTGACAGTCAACATGCAGTCATCGAAATGTGCCACTTGCCTGCTGTTAACAGCTGCTGGCTCGGCATCGTTTGATGAACTGCCTGCTGGTTGACATGATAATCCCAGCAATCACATTAGCGAGAACAAACTGGCTTCTTAAAGACCAATAATAATGCAGATTTCTTAAAAGTTTTATAATCAGATATCAGATGATACATTAATTTAAAAAACAACAACCTGTCATGACTTTGGGGCAGCAGAAATAAGTTTTGAACACAATGCTATTGAACGACTACATTATCTGTCCAATTGACACCAAAATTATGGATGTAGGATTCACTTTTCACTCAAATTTAACTATCTGGTAACAAATTGTAGAGTTTCCAACTGGGCTTCTGACAGAATTGTCAAATATATGTCTTATTGCTGCTCACCTTCCGACTTAAATTAGACGGCTATTGAATGACTAAATGAATTCTATGTCAGGAAGACTTAAGGCAAACTGAAGTCCAACCAGGTACTAGCAAGATGTATCTTAAAAGCTGGCTGTTGTTTTTCACTTGTTTCTAGACCTAACATGTGAAGTGGCGGATGAGTGTATGTGTCGATGCAATATATCTCTGATAAGCTAATATTGGGCAATAATGACGGCCAATTTATTGGTCGTGCTCCGATTCTCTTAGAACAAAAATGGAATATCGTAAAATAAGTTGTGCTTTATTTTAATACATTTTTTAGATTCCTGTATATTCCGTGAATCAAATTTCTAAACTTCCTTCGTTTGAAATACACGTCTCGGCACAGCATGACATGATAATTCAGGAATTACAGGATTTACAATCCTAATTTAGATTTTGAGGTTTACTATACATGGCAAGAAACAACCATGAAGCAGTTCCCTTCAGAACCGCTGTGCTTTGAATATATATCAGTGTGTGTTTTACTAAGTGCTGAGACCTGGAGAGCAGACACCATCAAGCCCTGCCAGCAGTTTCTCAGATAATGTCAGCTCTATAAATATATGGGGTGCTTTGAAAGTTACCATGTCAGCGTGTCATTGTCCTGCGCCATGACGGGATAAATAAGCCCACGTATGTGTGCTTGAGGGGGCAGGAGTTATGGGGAGCTGCATGGGGGGTAATAAATAGGAGAATTAGAGGAATACTATAGTGACACCAGTGTGGAATGTAACTAAGTACATTTACTCAACAACTAAGTACAATTTAGAGGTACTATATTGAGTATTTTCATGCAATTATAGACTTCTACATTTCATTAGATTGCTAATTTAGTTACTTTGCAGATTTAGATTATACAACCAACAAATAGATTGGGATGTAGGTTAAGCTCCCTGGCAGTATATAAAGTAATTTAAAGTAGCTCCACCTTTGCCAGCTGCAACATTTTTTAAAGTTTTACTTGTGAAAGTGACGCTGTGATACTGATACTTTTACTGAAGTAAAAGATAGGAATATGTACTTTGTCCATCACTGTGTGACACCATGTAAAAAGTGGTACAATAAGGCTAATAACACATATCTAATGTTTTAAGTTTCCTATATCATAGGCTACAACTTCTCTTTGAAAACTGCAACAGGATGTTACATTATATTAATGCAACAACAGCATGATGGGACAAAAGTATGCCATGGTGCATGAATGGAGAGCTAAAATGTTACATATGTGCAAAAATTAATGTTGACTATGATTCATATGTACAGTAAGTCATATTCCAGTATGTTTAGACTCAATCTGTTTAAATTGGAATACTTTAAGCAACAAAATAATAAATGAAGGGTTTAACATTTCACCTGGGGTGGCAGTACGTGAAGTCACGTGACGTGTCAACGTTACGCATTCTCAGCGTTGCATTTCATTGGCTGACCCGTGGCAACCGAAGTGAGTCCATAGTAACGGACCCCGGAAGCAACAGTAATAACTAGCTGTACTACTTCGTCAGTAAGAGCTACACAATTCCTTTAAGTCATACAGTTAATCGTTACTACAAAAAAGCTTAAGGCATATGTAACCGCAAATCCTCGCCTTTAAAAAAAAAAAAATGGGGGACAAAAAGCAACAAACTCCTCCCAAACGTATTTTTATCAACGACGTCGACAGATATTCCTCCAAACACATCGCAAAGGTAACGTTCGCTAAGCTAAATAAGTTGCTACCCGCTAACGTAATATAAGATGGCTTGTCGTTCACAAGTGTTACAGTGTTCATTCTGACCGTCTCAACAGTTCTTATCGACATCGCGCGTGGCCGAGGAGGAGGAAGAAGAAGAAGAAGAAGCCTCCCCTCAAAGGGAACCTGCTTTTCAAATAGTGGGTACTGTGTCTCCTTCCACCAAAGATGGTAAAGACAACGTTCTGCTTGAACAGTATACGGTGAGTCAGGAGTTAAATGACGAGTAACGTTGTCATGCTTCAGTTCGTCTGCGGACATTTGATGCATATTGTTTCTGGGCTTTACTTTCAAATGCAACAGGTAAAGTGGGGGAAAGTAACAAAGTACATCTACTCAAGCGTTATACTTACGCTACATACGATGTTGAGGTACTTGCACATTACATGACACAGATTTTTAAATTACAAATCATAGCCGACAATATGATTCATTGCTATAGATTGAACTACCCCATAGGTACAATTGGCTCCTTATATACACCAATAAAAAGCTGCTTTTAAAATGCATCATTAATAATCATATAAGATTCTGTTATGGAGTCATTCTGCATAAAGAGTCCTTTTATGTTTTAACAGCCTCATTTTAAACGATTTAAGTTTTAACATATTAATGCTAAGTATGTTTTTCTGATAATACTTTGAATGCAGGGCTTTTACTTAATTGAGTATTTTGTATTGCTTTTACTTGTCGTAACAAGTAACTATAATAATAAATGATGTCTATTTCTGGACAATGCAAATTACAGACAATGTGTAATTGTATGTGTAATCTCTTTTGGTAGTCACCAACTCGAGACGAGCTTCTTGAGCGCCTGCTGGAGTGTGACGTAGTGGTGTACAACATCTCAGAAAGTGCTACGCAACAGCAGATTGAAGAAGCCACATGGGCAATCACCGGTAAGGGAGTAAGTATAGGCTTATTATGCAGTGGACTGGCTTTGCTGTTTCCTTTGTCATGCTGTTTTCTGTCTTCTACAACAGCCCTTAATGCTGAGATGGAGAACTTCAAGTCTCGAAAAATGTTCATCTTAGTCTCAAGTGTGATGACCTGGGCCATGACCAAGCCACCGAATCTGGTGAGCTTGTAGGAAAATTTTGGCCAACACGTCCTGTGAATAAAACACGACCATTTATGTTATAATTTGTCTCTTCAGGAAGAAACAGATGTTCTGCTATCAGAGGAAAAGTTCAGAAGAAGAAGGCCACATCCCAATTTCAGAAAACACAATCATGTGGAGAATCTTGTGTTGAAACTGCGTAGAGGTGTATGTACACTTTAGGGATGAAAAGTTCAACATACTCAACAAATATGCCAGCAGCATGGTAGCATTTTACTCCATGCAATTTATTAAGCAAGGCCTTTAACGTGAACATGTTGTATGCATGTAAACGTCACAGATTCTGTGTGATTTTCCAATCTTACAGAAAAAGTTCAAGCTCACTGGATATGTTGTAGCTTGTGGTCTTCAGTACGGAAAAGGAGAGAACCTCTTTCACTACTTCTTCAAGGTAGATATTAATGTGTACTGTAATAACTCAGTATATTGTATGGTTGTGTATATATACTAATACCTTCATTTGCAATATCATGTTCTGTAAAAAATGTTTTTGTGTTTTGAACAGGTGTCCTGGTTGATGCAGTTTCCAAAAGTTCCTCTCTTTGGACAGGGCACGAATCACATCCCCATGATTCACGTGAATGATCTTGGAGGGTGATTTAAATTTCTGTACTCCTATATATATATATTTTATTTATTTATTTATTTATTTTTATTTATTTATTTATTTTTTTTGATAATTACTGAAGGGCTGAATTGTCTTCCTTTCTCAGAGTGATCCAAAACATCGTTGAACTCGAGCCAAAGTCAAAGTACATTCTTGCTGTTGATGACTCCAAGAACACTTTAGAGGATATTGTAAAGGTAACTTTATTGAAAACATGAATGCAGCAATACATTGAAGAAAATGAAGATGTTGTGAATCACTACTGTAGGTCGACCTGGTCACCCAATACTGATTAGAATCCAGCTGGGGACTCTATTGTGAGCTTTCTAAAAGGAAAATGACAAAAAGAAAGTTCCAAAAATGCTTCAAAACTAATCTTATTCTCTGACTCTTAACCCTTCAGATGATAAGCGTCACACTTGGGTCCGGAAAAATGAACAAAGTACCTGAGCAGGATGCCATCGCCATGAAGGCTTTTAAGGTACAGTGTGAAATGTTTATTCTTATTTTAAATAAATAAGAATCTAGTCTGGATTATTTCTTCATGTGCATATTCAAGTCTTTCTACATTTGTGAATTTATTTTCGTACCCTTGACTTATTCCAGCCAGATGAATTGGATTACCTTAATATCGACCTCCGCCTGAATGCTTTTATTATAAAAGACTCCTTCAGTCTCCGCTGGACGTCTGAAGCTGGGATGGTTGAAAACATGAGGAGCATTGTTGAGGAGTACAAAGACACCAGGCAGCTTCTTGTGAGTGTTATGTACAGATAGCAGAAACGATTTAAATATATTTAAATCATTTCTGTTGCTCAGATCTACAGTATGCCCAGATTCAATGCGTCAGTAAAGTAATCCACAACATTACAAACACATTGATGGGGTATTTGGGGCATGAAAGCTATTTTGATGCCAGATAAAAGCTGCCATGATTTCCCTTTTTCCCCGTTTATTTTTCACAGCCAATCAGAATCTTCCTGGTTGGGCCTCCAGCTGTGGGTAAAACCACCATTGCAGAGAAGCTCTGCAGTCATTACCAAATACACCACATCAAGATCAAAGAGGTCATTGAGGAAAAGATCACACAGCTGGTCAGTGGGATAAAAGCATTTGCCTCCCAGACAGACTAACTAAACTAAAGGAAATATACTGCCCTCTTGTGGAAGGCCTTCTTTGCAATTTAAGACTCAATACAAATACAGACTCATTGTTCATTTTTCGTGTTTTTTGTTCTCTGCTGCAGAAGGAGATAGTGAATGAAGCAGACCCTGACATTGACAGTGAAGAGGTAGTGACTGCTGCACAGAAACAACTGGAACAGTTTAACAATAGCATGGAAATGAATGCAGGTTAGTTAGAGAACCACAGCCCAAATTAAGAGCGACATGGTTTGGTTTGTTGGTATTAAACGTTGTGGTTTGGATGTTTGACGACAGCAGCTCTTGGATTAATTCAAACTTGTACGCTAAATCTGTTGATCACAATGTTGTAAGATATTAAAAGTGAGAAAGAGACTTGTATCCAGAAACAGGTGTGACGTCGAGGGTTGTGCTCATTTTGCTGAGACCTTTGCATTTGGTATGTCTGTAGTTGGATTGTTGAAGGGTTGTTGTTGCACAGAGAGTCTTTTAGTTCCTCACTTTAGGTTCTAACAATTGTGTTGGTCCATTAGGTCGACTGGCTGACCATCTGGTTTTTGACATTTTGAGAGAAAAGCTGAATTCAAAGCCATGCAGGAACCAAGGATTTGTTCTCGATGGCTTCCCGAAGTCTTATGAGCAGGCAAAGCTGATTTTCTCTGGTATGTTTCATCCATTCATTTAATTACGATGTGATGTTTATTTATATTAAAAACACTAATGCAGATGTGGTGTTTTTTATTATGCAGATGAGGAAACAGAGAACCAGGATGTGATGCCCAAAAAACCCGTGTACAACGAGCAGATCACTCCAGGTTGTTGATGTACTTGTTACTTCAATTAACCACAAATCAAACCATTCAGTTCTTACGGAATAGCAGGCAATCCCCCAAACTCTCTTCTCTAATATGACAAAGCATTCTTATTCTACTTGTTTCATGTTTTGCAGAGCACATTTTTGTCCTCAACGCGACAGATGATTTTCTGACAAACAGAGCTCAGAGACTTCCACAGAGCGTTGCAGAGAAAATGCGTTACACCCAGGAGGAATTTGTCCCTCGCCTGACGAGATACAGACAACTCAGTACGGCGGAGCAAACCCTGCTGGACTACTTTGATGAGCTTGAGATTCTCCTGGAACATATTGGTACTCTCCTCTAAAGACACGTAGTTGATATTAGACCATCAACAGAATATTTACCTGAGATGTAGAAAATTAAAATCATAGAAAATGTGAGTTTTGATCGTTGGAAGCCGGTTTTTGTGCCGTTCTGTCTGTCTGTGTTTAACAGCGCTTTGTGTCACGTTTTATACGTGGCAAGTGAAAAAAGTGACAATGTCTAAGATTCAGCTTAAAGAAATAGTTCAACCTTTAGGGAAATATACTTATTCGCTTTGTTGTAGAGAAGATTTTCTTTTTCTTTTGTTGCCAGCGTAGCTGTTTCCCCCTGCTTCCAGTCTTTATGCTTAGCTAAGCTAACCAGCTGCTGGCTCCACCATACTGACATGCGAGTCGTATCGATCTCCTCATCTAACTCTTGTTAAGAAACCGAGTAAACAAACTGTTTCTTCAATGACGAGGATCGACATGCTGGATGTCATGCTTCCTTTAGTCTTCCCTCCCCTCCCTTTCAAAGCAATCTTCCTATTTCGTGCCATGAATCGATCTCATCGTGTAACCTCGTGGCAAGCGACTTAACGTTCTGCAGAGAGGCTCGTAGAGGTTGCCAACTTACTTCCCCAATGGATTTGTTTCTTATCAGTAAGTGTGTCTTGTCCCTCCTCCAGAGGTCACCACAGGTGATTCGGAGTACACAGATGTTATGAAGAAGATCACAGAGACAGTGGGGATTCCCAAAAACTGCGGCCTGAGTCCAGAGGAGCAGGAGGAGGAGGACAGGAAGAAAGATGAAGAGAGGAAGCAGAAACTGGCTGCAGACGCTGCTGAGAAGAAACGTAGGAATGAAGCTGCACTGGCTGAGATGGCTGCTCAGTATGAGGAGTGGGTAAGTGTTGTGTAATGCATTCATAGATGGTGGAGATCAATTACCATGCCGCATCGGGTTTATGTACTTCGCTGGAACACAATGACTTGTAAATACGACCAGCCAATTCAAATATTTCATCATTCCTTAGCAGAGGGATTTGTCCGAGGTGGAGCGACAGGAGTACGAGCTGCTGGAAGCTCACTCTCTTCCTCTGAGGAACTATCTGATGAAGCACGTGATGCCCTCGCTCACTGAAGCCATGTTGGACTGCTCCAAGATCAAACCAGAGGACCCCGTCGACTTTTTGGTATTTACACAGTAGAGGTTCTCATATTAAGCATATAGGGGCCTTCTGTTAAATACTGTGTGAGTGAATTGATGCAGCAGCTGATATGTCATGTTTTGTTTTTGCAGGCTGAACATCTGCTGAGGAACAACCAACAACAATAACAATGAATCTAATGAGGAAATGAGCCCATACATGTTATTTATTTGAGGCTTTGTTCTTCCTACAGTAATATAATCAAAGATGATTGTAACATGAAAAGATTGAAGGAATTTCATTAGAAGGTTGTCCCTGTAGATGTGACTTTAACGTCACAGATTCTATTCATAAGACTTGTGCCTTTGTTGTCATTTATTAGTTTACCTGAAGCAAAGAGGGCAAACACTGAGCAGGCATAGATAATACTTTATTTAAGGTATATTATTTAACTCCCTGGTCAATAATACTCTCAGTGAGTAGGTCGCTCTTTATAAAAGATGTACAAACTAATGACTTTTGTAATGGATACTAAACTAATTATTAGTCCTTGTTAGATAATTCATAAGCCATTAATAAGAGCAGCTGTTGTGTCAGTAATTAGTTATTATAAATTCTGTATACATATTAATAAAGGGTTGTGTTTCCCATCCAGTCTGCAGATGTAAACGTAAAGGGATTGTTAATGAATGGGGTGTTGTCCAGATGTCCTGCAGCCCTTTTTAGAAGGTCAGAGGTCAAATGCTCCATTGGAGGGTCTACACTTTGATACGCGTATTAAATGATTCGAAATCAGATGTATGTCAAGAAAGAATCTCAGCTAGCCGTCAAAGTGGAAAATAAAGTATTGGGTCCTGCACATTGGGAATATGAAAGCCAAACTATGAATGACTTCACCCAGAGAAATGTGTGTGCATAACACTCATTATTGCAGAACAAAATACTTATAATCATCAAATTAAAAAAACAACAACCTTAATTTAAACTGTGCTTTAACATAGTACACAAACACAGAGAGTAATAAAATACTTCACAGGTATATTGTGATATGGTATACGTATACACATTTATAACACTAAGAACTACACTTTTAACATGAAGAAATACTAATGTTTCTCCTGGCGCAGTGCTTGTTAGGAAGGTTTATATTCCTGCCAGGTTTCCACTCATTTCAGATTGGTCCTTTTACAGCCTCCATCTGGTCTCTGACTCAACTCCCACTCTGATGAAGAGTCAGAGCTTACTGGAAGAAGCGTGCTGACCGGTTATAATCCAGCAAAGACGTAACACAACAATCTTCCTGCTGAAGGTGAGACAGTAGAGACAGAATACAAACTAATTAATAAAAAATGCAATAGATAAAAATAAAAATAAATAAAAATTTCACTGCTGAAAGAAAACATGGGTACTCACATTTTGTTATGATATTTATCACTAAAAAGAAATGTAATAATTCTTCCTTTGCTCATAAAAAAGTCAGAATGAAAACAAAGCATATTCCTACAATACAAAATTATCAAAATATATTTCTTTCATATGTGAATCGTTTAACTTTCATTCAGGCTACAAGTCTGCTTTTTGAACACAAGGTGGTGCAGGAATTCTATCTAGAGACTTGACAGAGGCATAAAAGAGAGACAAGCGCCTGTATTCAAGTATTGAAATGTCTGTTTAAGTTTCCGTTTCTCTCAATTCAACCTAAAGACAATAGAGCTATACGATGCATTGTCTTGCTTTGTTAAGCTTTTATACATACATTAGTCTGGCTTTGGAAAAGGGCCTTTGTTCTGATATTGTTGTAAAATTAAATTAGAATGTTTTGCTCGGCTTGTTGTGGAGGTCAATCTGGTGTCTGGATTCGCTTTGTAGTTTCTTTGTGACTGAGAATCTGTGCAATCAAGCAGCTAATTAGAAGCTGTTTGCCGGCTCGCTCATATGGAAACTAAATCATAACTTAAGCACTTCCTGTCATACAGTCTTTATGTACAAAGTGACCACACTAAAATGGCAAGAATAGCCTTTTACAGGTTGTTAAATCTTTACAAGCAAAACTATGTAATTGTTTCTGTAGCTGTGGGGATTATATCCTGAGGTTATTGTACAGTAACTTTCCTGAAATTTTACATACTGAAACTCTAAAATGATAATAGTATCTGGTACAGACATGAGGCTGATTAAATCTCCTACACCTAAAGCTAATTATTTAACCAGTACTACCTGTGCTGTGGTAAGAGTAAGAAAAAACAACTGTGTGGTGTTTACTTTACTCAGCAAACTGAACCCTGCAGTTTAAGAAAGTATTATTTTGTCATTGTCAACACAAGTATGTGTTTACATGTGCGCTCCTGCTGTTTACATTACATTTTACACAGAAAGAGTTACATACTTAACTTAATGAGTTAATTGTTGTCTGTGCAAATTTGCACAACAACAACAGGATTGTAAAAATACGGATATAATTTACATTATTCTTGGGCCATTCTTCAGAAGGAGTACTCCTATATTTGTTACTTTAAGTAGATGTTGATGCGAATATTTTTCAAAGTATTCCTACATTGTAGTTCTACTTTTGTACAACTAAAAGATCTGAGTATGTCTGCCACCAGTGCACTGCTGGTGAGAAACACATTTTATTGATTCAGTAAATACGACTCAAATGCACGACACTTAACAGGGAAGGTAAAAGCACAAAGTCTGCTGTGTCGCTGTTCAAAGCGGGAAACGAGCAGGTCGTCCAAACAGGCAGAAGACTTTAAAAAGGGCAGTCGATGTGTCAAAACAAGCCAGGAACAAGAGGACAAAAGGCTCTGGGAACAATTGCTCAAGGAAATAAAAATGGGGAGCTGATGAGGGAAGGTAGCAGGTGTGGATGTCATGTGATGGTAAAAAGGAATGACAGCTTCTTAAATAAAAATGACTAGTGAGTAAAATACTGGCAAGAGACACTGTAATTTGCAACAGGGCAAAGGGTCGGCCCAATCAGCCAAAATAAAAGTGTTGTTGGTGACACTGAGAGAGGCAGAGTGGTCTGGCATGACAAATTAGGACCGACATCCCCGGCAGGAAGCAGGTCCAGCTCTGTCACTGACATTTCATTTCATATTTATGGGGAGAAACAAGGAGATGTCCTGCCAAACAACCAAGATTCCCGTAATTCATGTCTTCAGTATGTGTAGTTCAGCTTTTTACTGGACCCCAAAGTCAGTCAGCCCCTTCCTCGTTTCCAGTATTTTACTGCTGTAAAAGGAGGATATTATTCTCCCTAATTAGAGTTATTTTTTACCACGATGCACTTGAGCAAGTTAAGTTCCTTAGTAGTGTTATCCTCAAGCTGTAAACTCTCAAAAAACAAAATTTCGGAGAAATGCAGAGAATCCATTGTAAATAGCTGAGGCTGTATTTGCTCTCAGGTCCGTTTTGGAAAACATGAGTCATCATCCCAGATGGTCCAGCTGCCTCCTGTTGGACTGAGACTTCTCACTGGCCCCAAAGCATGCTGGGAAGGGACATCTTAACTGGCTAAATACAGTGTACCACTCCTACTGTACTGTTACTACTATAAATGTTACAAATATTACTGCTAGTACTCTGACTATCATTACTGTACCATTTCTCTCCATTGCTACTACTTTTACCTCACAGCAATTATAACAGCTAACACACTTTTATCATTATTATTATTACATATACTAATATGATAGTTAATAAAAAACATTCAGTCTAAAACCCCTAACTGGTCACAGCCAGAGGTCGCTGTCTGGTCTACCATAATGGCCGGTCTCCAATGGAAAACCTTTCATTTAGGATGCCAGATATAGTGTAATAATGAGGACTTTCACCTGAACAAGCGAGGAAGAAAGGTCTCATTCTGTGGTGCAGGGCGTCAGCTTAACCGGCTCAAATACAGAACATTCATGGTGGATAGATACTCCTCTATCCTTGACCTTGTTTGACTGCCTGCATTTTTGTTTTGAGCTATTTTACTTCTGATTGCTTGCTGATGTTATATCCTCATTATGTTTTTCTGCATAAACTCTGATGAAATGTGTTATTTTAACCTTGTTTTTGTGTGGGTATTATCAATAACAGTACTTAGCTCAAGTACTGTCATTGGTGGGTGGGTGTATGCGTGTGTGTTTGTGTGCGTGTGTACCTGTGTATACTCCATCCTCCACCTACGACAGAGAGACAGACGATTCGTGTAAAAGAAAAGGGAACCCATGGTGCTAAATGGTCGGCACACAGCTTGTGTGTGTGTGTGTGTGTGTGTGTGTGT